TCATGTAAAACACCACCCTTTTTACCTTGTCAAAAACAGCTCTGTTCTCAGCGACTCATTCCGGTGCATGTCTCTTTAAATGCTAATGTGCTCTTCTCACTTTATTTATTTATTCTGGTAATCTAGCTAAGTAAACCACCAATAATAATAATAATAATAATAAATCCTGCTACTCTAACATGCACAAATGTTGTGCTATCCATTCATTTATCTATTCATATATTTATTTATTTAAGATAATAATAATAACAATGGTTATAATCATTTCTTGGAATACTATAATTGCACTATATGATTGTTCTGTAATGCTTGAATAGTAATCACTGGCAAATGTATATTTATTATTATTTCCGGCATTAAAAGGATAATTCATAGAACATTCTGTTATTTACTCACCCTTATGTTGTTCCAAACATATTTTTAATGAAACCTGCAAGGTTTCTGTTCCTCCATTAAAAGTCCAGGTAACCAAAAGATCTAAAAAGGATCCATATGAATGTAGCAGTATAATTCAAGTCTTGTGAAGAGATACAATCAGTTTATATAATGAACAGAAAACGCACAGTTAGATAAAATTCACCAGATTTTGGCCAAAGCAGAAAATGAGGAAAAGGTTGTCATATTCCATCTGGGCAAAATTATGACTGTATTTACATAAGATACAACAAGATGATTTGACTCACATTATCCAGCAGCACAAACAACTATCCCTTGTGGTCCAAGGGGATATGGATTTGTGGGGTGCACTAAGCGATTTTTGCCAAACGATGCTGATATTTAAAAGCACCAAAACAAACACGCCTACACCCCAACAGGACCTCGCCCCTATTTTGCTAACTCCGCCCCATACGTTTGTACACAACCCTGGCAGCGACAATGGCGGATTCTGCTATGCCTGCCGGCCGCAGCATATTCAAGCAAAAGCCAACAGAGATTAGTTGTGTGAAAAAGCTAAATCAATGTAACTCACTTATCATCGAGAAACAAAACAACCTCGGGGTCCGATCAGGCCTTCCCACTCCTTGAGTTCTCTCCACCGCTGGAAAGCTGCTCCAATATTTACGTGGATCCTACCTCTTGCCTGATCGTAACCCTTCTTTTTAATGTTTTGTTCCTCCGAAATTTTCCTCTTTTTTTTAATCAGCCATCTCTCGCTAACTCACATTATCCAGCAGCACAAACAACTATCCCTTGTGGTCCAAGGGGGATATGGATTTGTGGGGTGCACTAAGCGATTTTTGCCAAACGATGCTGATATTTAAAAGCACCAAAACAAACACGCCCACACCCCAACAGGACCTCGCCCCTATTTTGCTAACTCCGCCCCATACGTTTGTACACAACCCTGGCAGCGACAATGGCGGATTCTGCTATGCCTGCCGGCCGCAGCATATTCAAGCAAAAGCCAACAGAGATTAGTTGTGTGAAAAAGCTAAATCAATGTAACTCACTTATCATCGAGAAACAAAACAACCTCGGGGTCCGATCAGGCCTTCCCACTCCTTGAGTTCTCTCCACCGCTGGAAAGCTGCTCCAATATTTACGTGGATCCTACCTCTTGCCTGATCGTAACCCTTCTTTTTAATGTTTTGTTCCTCCGAAATTTTCCTCTTTTTTTTAATCAGCCATCTCTCGCTATCTATAGCCGATCTGCTAATATTTGCCCTGTGCACTCACTGAGTGCTCGCTTCTCCCTGTCATTACTAGACACGCCCCTTACTGCTGATTGGCTGCAAGTTTGTTTTGGGACTCGGTCCGACACAGTGGTCAAAAGCGTTTTTCAAAAATCGCCTAGTGCACCTTTAAGGTGAACTAACAGCACCTATACAGAGATGTGATGTTTCACATGAACACCTTGATGAGACGCTTTTGTAATCAGCAGCATTTCTGCTGATATTTCAATAGAAGTGACATTTACAGAGAAAAGCTCCTGACAAGGGCACCCTGCTGTGTCATGGCTGGGGAAAATTATTACCTCTTATGCAGAATGCCAGCGTCAATGTAAAATTTTCATTTTTGTTGTCCCTAGTCTTGACAAAGACCAAAACAACTGCAGATTCTACAGGATTTGACTTGAAAGGAACTGTGCTTCTCTACACCAGATATGTAACGCACAACAGGTTTGTCCCCCAAGACGTTTTAAATGCATGACTTTATGACAGACTTTACAGGCAGGATTGTGAACAGCAGTTAAAAATAAAATATGCCGCCTTGGCTTGCTCATCCTCTGCATTGTGATTTGTGTGTTTCTATCTCTGGTAATGCAGAATCTCAGTTACCTGCTGAGCCTTGGCACATGTCCATATGCTCCTTTTGGACAATACTCTTCACTGTGACTGATGTCCCATGAGACCGAAGCTCAGATTACCCTGGGATTGATCAGTTTGCCGGTATTTAAGAGAACATTAGGCCAGTCTTTCTACCTCACACATTGGTTGTCTATGTCTCCTTTTTAATACCTTTGGCATTGTTGGCTACAGGATTTTTTTCTGCACATGATGTCTAAACTGTTTCCCTTAAAGAAATAGTTCACTCCAGGGAGACCCATAATAGTAGTCAATGTGACTCGTGCAATATTTCCAATGTCTTCTGATGCTTATACAATAGCGGGAGCTCTTAGGCCTTATTCAGGCTTGCATTCAGTTTAAAAATGCACTTTTAAACACATTAGTACAGGTTTGATGACAGAAACACTATTTGTTTTTGCATGTCACATAATTATGATATGGCAACATTGAACAGTGCAACATTGAAGATAAATGGTGAACAATCACATAGTACATTTCTGTCTAATTAATGAGAAACATGTAACACAAAAGAAGATTTTGAAAGTGTGTGGGGTACAAACAGCATTGTGTGTACATTATATACTGTATGTTCAGTTGAAATGCCAATCATCTTGATCAGCCAATCACTGCATCATTACATCTTTTTATGGACAGTTTTTGTTTTGTATTCCACAGAAAAAAAGAAATACAAGTTTGGAACAACATAAGGGTGAGTAATGACATTTTTGGTTGAACTATCCCTTTAAGATCACTTATTGTGTTTTCGTTTGAATTAAAACAGGACCCTCTGTCTTCTGTAAGGTTTAGAGCTCTAAAAAGTATTGACAAAAGACATACTTCGTCAAAGTGTTCAGAAATGTTCTGTTTTCTTAACTAATATGAATGATTATGTAGTAAATATTGCTACTGAATCCTTCTTAAAACATCTACTGAACAAAATAAGCCAGAATCGGACTGACTTGTTCAATTCAGTAGCAGGCGAATCAAAATCAAAGAGCTTTGAGTCTTAGTTCCTAAAGATAAGTGACAAGCTTTTTGCAAATTTGCCTAGGGGAATGTAACTCTCAAGGATTACGGATCTAGTTTTTGAGATGTATCCAAAGGCAATACTCGACTCAACCTTGTTCAAACCCCTGAGCAACTACTGCAATGTGACTAACGTTTTATTTGAACTGGATTATGGGATCTGTCAGGATATCTGGATCACACACTGTATGACTAATGTGTCTAGTGATTACATCAATGTAAAATATGTATTTGAAGAGCACAAAGTCACCAGGGGTGGAAAGAGTACTGAAAAAGTATACTCACGTTAAAGTACCATTACATTGCAAAAAATGTAGTGTGAGTAGAGTAAAAAGTTCTTGTCCAAACAAGAGTATCTTAATTAAAAGTACACATGAGTAGTGAGTACTGAGCTAGAGATTATACACCTTTATAATAAAAGCTGTCCACTGCAATTAAAAAATGTAGAAAGTACTGTACATACTCTAATTCACATATTCTTTTGTTTGTCAGAAAGAATGAAGAATATCTGTCATCCAACAGTTTTACATTTTGACGGTCAACTCTTTAAAATATATCAAAACAACACGGGACAAAAAAATATTACAGAGATGAAAAGATGAAAGAAAAACAGGATACTGGATGCATAATTCCCCGCATTATGAACATGGTGTCACGGATTCAGTCCATGGACTTCTGTTTATTCACCACCAGAGGTCACCCTTTCCATTTCATTGACTCTCGCACTACACAAACTGTTGCATAGCACCCTGGACTACATTTCCCATCATTCTTTGCACAATTTGCACACTGCCCTGATTGCACTCATTGCACACAGCTGTTTCTAATTACCTCATTCACTATATAACACCCACTCTAACCACATTTCTCTGCTGAGTATTGTTTAGCCTGTACCCCTTTCCGAGTCTCCCTTATTTTGCCTTGCCTTGCCTGTTTTTGATCTTTGCCTGTTTCCTTGGATTTCTCCCTCTCAGGACTATTCTTGTGTTTTGCCCGCCATATACCTGTTTGCCATTGTTTTGACCCTGCCTGTGTACTACGTCTCTTTAATAAAGCCTGCAGATGGATCCACACGTCTCACGTCTCGTCAGCCCCATTACACATGGCTCTTGCATGAGTTATTAACATTATACACAATACCCGAAAACTCACACCAAATTTCAGGCCCTGTTTATAGGCTAGCCTATATACATGTAGCGAATCAGCTCATGGGGAAATATGAATAATTAACCATAACTAGTTATAATTAACTATTCATATTTTAGATCCGCTGTAGATATTTAGCTGACCTCTCAGGGTCATAAAATAAATTGTAATAATATTTTACAATTACTTTTACTTTTTTGATCAACGCAGCCTTTGTGAATTAAATTGGTACTTTCTTTTATCTTCTTTATTTTTGTGTTTAAAAAAACAACAACTGTCAATTATTTCATTATATTGTAGTAGATGTTCTCCCAGTGAATTATTATTGTTGGATGGCTCTTAGTGAAAGTAACTTATTTTGTTTTATTTATTTATTTGTCTGCATTGACGTTACTGCTCTGTATAGTTGCTAGTGAAGGGTTTGGAACTGTGTGTATTCTTGAGGCACCATCAGACAATTAGTGTTGTCATGACAGTTTCGTGTGACTCCAAATGTGATTAGTCACATGACATCTCTGACTCAGGCAGTTGAAGACTGACCTGTGCTTTCATTCGCATCCAGACTGCCAGCCAGCTGCTCCAGCAGTCGCGCCCGTGCTGCATTTCTCTTATGCTTCTTGCCTTCGTAGTGTTGCTGTGCCATCAGTGGGTTGTTGAACCAGGCGCCACACAAGCAGCAGTACTTGCCTGCCTCACCATGATTGGTCAGCGGCTGCCACGAGGGAGGGGGCGGGTCTGTGGTCAGAGGGGTGGGCAGGGCTGACTCTGCACAGAACAGAATATACATTCATTATCTATAAATATCCATCAATATAGATGACCTTTAGGAGCCTATACAGTATATATTCTGTTGAGTGCAGCTGAAACTGTCCTGCTGTCCAAACTGTCCAAACACACTGATGGCTCCAAGCCTAATCTACTGAACAGCTATGCAGGTCAAGAGAGGGTCAGCACATGTGGAGATGAAAATTCACCCCTGAGTTAGGTTATTCTCCTCCATCTTATGAGGAAAAAGCAAGCAGATGGATTGATCTTCCAGGTGACACTCTCGAAGACACAGTGGGACTTGTTACCATGGTTACCAACCCCAAAGGCGACAGTGCCGCAAGTTAGAATGAGGTAAACCAGGGGTGCCCAACCCTGCTCCTGGCGATCGACTGTCCTGCAAAGTTCAGCTCCAACCCTAATCAAACACACCTGAAGCAACTAATTAGGGTCTTCAGGATCACTTAAAAATTAAAGGCAGGTGTCTTTGATTAGAGTTGGAGTTAAACTTTGCAGGACAGTCGATCACCAGGAGCAGGGTTGGGCACCCCTGAGCTGAACACACTGTGATTGTTTACTGGACTTTTAAATCCAATAGATGCTGAAAAAAAGATGTAAAGTACATAGAAATATATTTTTTAGTAACTTTTTACTCTACTGTTTTGTAATTTATGGAATGGAATGGAATATACTTAATTTAGTTCATTGTATGGACAAGAGAAGTATGGACATTCTGCTAAACATCTAATTGTTGTGTTCCAATGGAGGAAAAGAGTATAAAAAGAGGTTTGGAACTGAGTAAATGGTGACATAATTTTATTTTTTTTAGGCAAACTAACTCTAAATGTTTATAAAAAAGTCAATTAATATAAAAGAGAAAATGCAATAGAATCCCAGTCTTCTAAATGTTGTAAGTGAGCATTTATATAAAGGTTGCTTTCTTTTAAAGGGACAATTCACCCAAAAATGAAAATCTGGTCACACTTTAGTTCGGGAACCAATTCTCACTGTTAACTAACTATTAACAACAATTTTTGACTCCATAAACTTCTGATTTGCTGCTTATTAATAGTTAGTAAGATAGTTGTAAAGGTTTAGGTTTTGGGTAGGGTTAGGGATGTAGAATATTGTCATGCAGAATAAGGCATTAAAATGTGCTTTATAAGTACTAATAAACAGCCAATATGCTAGTAAAATGCATGCTAATAAGCAACTAGTTAATAGTGAGAATTGGTTCATAAACTAAAGTGTTACCGAAAATTCTTCGGAACACTAAAGGAGATGTTTTTTAAGAATGTTGGTAACCAAACAGTTTTGCTGACCATTGACTTCCATTTTATAGAAAAAGAGACGTTTCTCAAAATATCTTCTTTTATTTTCCACAGAAGAAAGTCATACAAGTTTGGAAAGACATGAGGGTGAGCAAATGACAGACTTTTAATTTTTGGGTGAAATATCCCTTTAACGCTCAGTGACCCACTGTAGTAGAACTAATAGTCTATTTAAATCAGTAGAGTAACACTTTTTTTTTTAAAGCTAAGTACATAACAGCAGTTGGAATTCTGAAACGTATCATAGCAACAGGTATCATAGCAAATACTTTGAATCTACCAGCATGGCAAAGTCACACGACATGACACCACTGCCATCTGTTTTGATAAAAATTTGGCAATATCCTTATTCTTCTAGAGTATGTATATATATATATATATAATGTAATCTTAAAGTGGACACAGGTTGCTAAGAAGTTGATCATTTGATTTAGTTGATTTGTCATACTGTAGCAACCAAGAACACTTACAGTAACTACACCTCTGTTCTCACCACCCACATCTCACTCGCATGAGCAAAGATGATTCAAATCACTGTGCATGGATAACTTAAAATCAGCTTTCAGTGGTTTGACAAAACCAGCATACACACATTAGGAATGGGTCAGAATGGTTTATTAGTGGGCCTTTTTATCTGTAGTAAAAATAATAAAGAGAGCTTCTCAAACTGGATTTTTTTTAGCATGCTGACAGTGTGCAACTGCTGAACTGCTAGCACGCTAAAATCCTCTCTGACAAGTTGCGTCCATAAATTCAAGCTATTAAAGCACTATCGCTACACCCATCAAAGCACTGCTTTTGTACCAAATTCACAGCATTCGACAATACTTTTTGAGGCGATTATGAGTGTTTTTAAGAAGATGTGTTGAGTTAAAAACAGTTCGACTGACTTTTAAAAACACGTCTCGAGACCTTTGCATTTTGTTTAATTTTGTTGAGCTCCTTTTAAAAGCAAGAGTCCATGCTGTGTGAACATCCTTTTAGTGTCTGATCAGGGTCCGGTGGACATTTTAAAACTGTATTTATGCAGGGCTGAATATAAAACCGTTTTGAACATCACACATATCTATGTATGTATTCGTGAGAGTGCATGATGTGCAGAGACAGGTGTTGCAGATGAACCCTAAAGCTAGAGCTGGAGTGACAAGATGAGCAGAAATAGACGGAGAATGGGCAGGTAAAGATCTCAAGGGCAACTCCATCACATCCGCTTCGACTGTCAACACGATCCTCGTCTGATGAGTTTTCCTGAGCGAACAGCACTCTGGATTTTCACGAAGGTTACTTTTGACTTGAATCTCTCCTGAAACACCCGTTCCACCACTTTCTCTTTAAATTTGTGGAAAAGTTATTTTATATTGCTTTGCTAAAGCCGTCTGCTATGTGATCTCATCTCATCTGTGTGTCATGAAAGACTAAAAAACAAGACAAATAAAGCTGAGAGTGAACCATGATGACTATATGCTCATGCTCACCATCAAGTGCTTGTTATAATATCTACTGTACATGGAGAACCACGAACATCAGTGGAATTAGTCTGGAGAGCTGTAAGAAACACTACCCTGCTTGATTGAAATCATTTCCCTTATGACAGGAAATGAAATTCAATAGTCATTGACAGGCTAAAGATAGAAACACATGCCTCCTGTTTGTCCTGATGCCTGCAGTAGACATCTGTAATGTGGTTAAGATCATTTTAAAGTGAAGCTTAATCAAATATGTCCAGAAAGACTGAAAACTTCAGACAAATTTGTCTGACACTGAATACAGCAGCAATTTGAGTCCAAGTTTAGTATTTATTACCACCAACACTGATGACTTTCCACACTGGCACATATCCAGTGACCAAAGCTCAGGTGACTGAAAGTGTCCATCACAAATCAATTTCAATTATGACAACTCTCGGGAAGATTTTAGCATGGTGATGGATATGACAATGTTAATGTATTTGGTCTTGGCGGAATAGATCTGCTACGCTGCTGCTGAATTGCTGCTGCTGTTGGTTATTGCTGTAGTTGTAGATTATTGCTGCTGCTGCAAGCAAGTACAGGAACTTGCTACTGCCAATGCATATGGCGATACGGTGACGTGAGTAAGGCATATTGCTGCTGCACAAATTGCATTTAAAATAACCCGTAGCAGATCTATACAGGTGGAGCTGGGGAAGGTGGAGGGTTTTAGAGAAACTCTGAAAGCGTGCTGCAGGAATCTCTAGTGAATGCTAGCCAGCCATATAAATGCAAAGCAGTAAGCTCATTGGCTGCATATGCAGCATGAACCAATCAGCTGTGCCAAGTCGTTTAACTCTCTGAATATCATCTGTTACATTAACAACCCGTTGCCTGCGCCATCTAGAGTTTCATGACTGAACTATATATTTAGTTTCACAGTGCAAAATCCAATTGAGAGGTGATTTGTTCTGGGCAATATGCTGATAGAAATGTGTGATACACGCCAATTCAAAGTCTCTAATAAGTTTAGGGTTGGTAAGATTTGAAATATCAAGGCTGTAAAAAACAGTAATATTGTAAAATAATTTCATAATTTAAAATGTTTTCTATTAAATGTAATTTATTCCTGTGATGTCAAAGCTAAATTTTCAGCAGCCATTACTCCAGTCTTCAGTGTCACATGATCTTTCAGAAATCATATGTGTCTGATTTGGTTCTCAAGAAATATTTATCACCAATTTTTCAAATTTTAGGGAATACATTTTTTTTTGATGCCAATATACTACATTTTATTTTATTCTACCTCTCTTTATTCTAAATGTAATGCCAAAACAGCTCACCTGTCACCTGGGTTTGTAAAAAAATTATAGTAAAATGATCTAGTAAATACCTAAATTATTAAAAATGAGCTGATATACACACTTTAGTTGAATGTTGTGACATTGCTTGGCAACCATAAGCAACTACAGTCACTCCTTGTTTACACTGGGTGGGTGGTTAGGTGGGTGGATGGTTAGTTAGGTAGGTTCATGGATATATGGACGGATGGGAGGAATGGCTTGCTCTCTCTTTTATTAACCATTATTCATTTATAAGCTCAATATAATTACAGTGAGTTTATACATGACATTGACCCTGAGTCACACAAATTCCCACTGCTTCAGGCAGTTTCTGCACAACCTTATTCTCAGGCAGTTTTGTGCTTCAAACAAGAAAACGGATACTTCTGCAATCTGACAGACTGTGTTTCTGTCAGCGCACATGCATGTTGTTCATCATTGTTCACGCTTCATCTCTGATACCTCAGATGCATGAGTCTGTCCTCTTCATCACTTCAAACACTCTATCGGCTCTACTTTTTCCAAGAACTTTACTGGTAAAAGAAATCTAATAATATGATGCTGTTGTTTCTCAGATCTACTTTTAAATGCTATAAATCACAGCATGTCCATTCGTCTGTAAACAACCGCCGTTCTGAATTATTCATTGACACTGAGCATAGATAAAACTATTTGTTAGGATTGTGAATTAATATCATCAGAGACATAGACATCATGTATTGATGTCAGGAGTTTATTACTGCGTTTTCAAGGCTGCATTAATATTCCTCAGGCATTTTGCTTAATGCTCTGTTCTTAACACCAAACCCAATGTATTAAATTCATGCAATTTAATTCAGATGAAATCCATTCAAATGTTGTTTTCTTGACTATTTCAGCCTTATGCATTCTTATGTGATTACGTGATTGAAATGTGGTAATGGTAATGTGGTAAAGTTTATTGCATTTATTTAGTTCTCCATTAAGTTTCTAAATTGACTAAGTTCTAGATTGACTTGATTTTTATACTACTTGTGCGAGCCTTAATTTTTTAAGTTTGAAAGCACTTTAATAACTTAGCAATATTGATTAGACAAAATACAAAATTATCAATAAAAATACTAAATATCATCAAAAGACTGAAAAACAATATTGAGATATATTACAAGTTTGGGGTCAGTAATATTTCTATTTTTTAAAATAACAATACTTTTATTCTACAAAGACAGATTCAATTGATCAAAAGTGTCTGCAAATACATTTATAACAATTAAAGTATTTCTATTCAAAATAATTACTGTGCTTTCGAACTTGCTATTTATAATAAAATAAAAAACACTAACATTGATAATAATAAGAAACATTTATTGAGCAACAAATCAGCATATTATAACTCAATGTTGCCATCACAGGAATAAATTACACAAAATAGAAAAGTTATTTTAAATTACAATAATATTTTAGAATTTTACTGTATTTTCAATCAAATAAATTTCAGCCTAGGTTAGAGACTTCTTTCAAAAACTTTTAAAAAGTTTGGGGTCAATAAGGTTTTTTTTTAAATTATTATTATTACAGTAGTGTATGTCTTTTAGCTACAGTTGTGCTCAATTTTTGAACGGGGGAATTTTTATAAAGTCAACTATTATTTTCTCTTGTGGACTATATGTAAACGTCTTCTATGTGAAATATCTTATTCAGGTCAGTACTAAATAAAAAATAACATGCATTTTATATGATCCTTCAGATACTGCAGAGTGTATGTAAAATTTTGACCACAACTGTATTATCGTTTAGTTCAAATGAGGCATTAGAATTAGATTCAGCAGTGACACATGAGATATTCTAGATCATTCTCATCTCATATTCTGAGCACTTGTGATTGTCTGCTCATTGCTTAAAGGCTTTCTTTTCACAGTTTTGCACATTTAACAGACAGCTACTCTGCACGACTCTACAGTGCAATCTTACAGTATGTTTCTTGATGTCTTGTGTCTGAGTATCCCTGTAGTGTTGTAGGACGCTCACTGGAGCTTGTGTAAAGCTTCATTACCACTGCACACACAGCTGGGCCGGCGGGCATAAACAAAGCCTGCCTGACAGAACTGAACTTTAGGTTGAGTTTAGCGCTCTGTGCTTCAAGAATGAACCAGTTGCTATGTTCCTACACACTGTCTGAACACACCTCTGGGTCTAATTCACTACTGTATAGTGTCTCTACTCTCAGTAAAAGTGGAAAAAGACCAAAAACAAGATAATTTTTTAGCATGCTTTTATGAAGTAGTATCTAAAGAAACTAAACAACACTAGAATGCATTTAGTTGAGTGTTTTTTACCTGTGGATGCTGGCAGACTTGGTGTCTCCCCCAGCACCAAGCGAACTCTCTTAGCGTGCGTTTTGCCCTGGTAGTGCGACTGAGCCACGATGGCAGAAGTGAAGAACATGTTGCAGAGCGTACAGCATTTGTTTCTGTCCACCTCATTCTCTGCACTGTCCTAAAAAAAAGATAGCAGTACAGGACATATAGCACATGATTCACATTGTCACATGTAGCACATCTCAATGTCAAATTGAAAGGTTTTGCTTATTGATGGTTTAAGGTATGAATCATTTGTATTATTATTATTGGTTTTGTTAATAAGTATTATTACATTTTTATTTCCAGTGTTCATTGTGAAAAAGTGTAGAACATGATTTTTTTCTTTTTCTTTGGCAACAATGGATGAAATGATTCCTTAGACCATACCAGACTAAATACACAAACTGATATTATATAACTAAATATATATATTAGAAATATATACATATATAATTGACAATAAGATGCAAAAATATTTTAGATTTAATATATTACCCAGCCATAGTCTCTAGTATTCCATTAGTAAGTAAAGGAAAAAATATATATAATTAATTAATCTTAAGATCAGACCTTAAATGCATTGTAGGATATCAGACCGAATCAGACAATCTAAGATTTGGTACAAATGTCCAGTTGTGCATTTGTGACAGACATATTGCTCCAGTTATTTCTCATATACTAGACTGATTATTTTTCACAAATGAGGAATACAATGATTGTGATTCGGAGGCAGTAATGTGAGATGTGCTAACATTTTAAATATGTTCCAAAATTTCAGATGGATGGCAAGAAAACAAACAAATAAAATATTCAGCCAGTGTTCTCTGGTCATCAGAAACTGATTAGATGTGCTTCAGATTCCAGAATCTAACAGCCAGAAGATATTTTGAATATTCATGTCAGTAAAAACGCAGAGACTATCGTATGATTTTGGCCACATTGTGTGTGCTGCGAGCTGCTGCCAGTGGCTTGAACTGTCCTTCTCGTCTCTGGAGACTGGACTGTGGATTACAGGGCCACTATCAATTCTAGCACAGACGGGGCCCTTGGCATTCTCCCAACTCCCCGCTCTGAGTCAGGTCCTGATCCAGTGCAGCAGGAAAAATGTCAGCTTTAAGTAAACCAGGTGAAAAGAGAAGCCAAGAACTGTCCTGATCAAAGCAACAGTCCAGCTTATCATCTCTTATAAACACAACAAAATCAGTTACTGAAATGAACACACCAAACACTCATTTAGAGCAGCCTTAGATCAGTGGAGCCCAGAGGTATGTGGAGCCCAAGGGATGTTTTAACAGTTTGCGTGGGGAACCTGGAAAGATTTTGCATTGTTAGACCTACATAACAGCAAAATCTTTCAAATAAAAATATTAGATCTGTTTAATGATACAAAAATTCAGCTTTTCCATCAGGAAAAAGTTACATTTTAAAATATATTTTGAAAAAATATTTCACAATATTATTTTTTACTGTGTTTATGATCGAATAAATGCAACCTTGGAGAACATTGGAGAAAAAACAAAAACAAACATAAACTTTTGAACAGTAGTGTACTCACCCTTATTGTTTTAATGATAATAATACATTTAAATGCAAGTGAATGGGAAGGGATAATGTCGAGCTCCAAAAAGGTGAGAAAGCACAATAAAGTTGTCTTGTGAGCTATGTTTCAAGTCATCTGAAGCTATCCAATAGTTCTGTGTGAGGAATACATCAAAATGTTAAAGCGGGGGTGAATTCAGGTAAATTGGGACACGTTTTGCCATTAAGATGACTGGGAAGAAATGTCCCAATTAACCTCAACTCACCTACTAGGCATTTGTGTGTGTAAAGATTTTTAATGATGAAGAAAATCACTGAATGCACCTTCAGCAGTGAAAAAAAACCATCCAGTTTGGAACAACATAAGGGTGAGTAAATGACAGATTTTTTCATTTTTGGGTGAACTATTGTTGTTGATACTGCAAATAGCATCTGCTCGATCTGAATCAGACATTTAAAAATAAATCTGCCATATTTTCATTCCAGAGTAGAGAAAACGTTTGGCTCAAGCATGTTGTCTCAGACATTTTCCCCAGTTTTAGGCCAGGTTTGTATCTGCATTCTGCTCAACCATCACTGCTGACATTTCTGCACTTAAAAAAAAAAAAAAAAAGGTGCAAAGCAACACTCAGGAGGGACCCTTCGTCAGCAAAATGTCTGTAAAACAGCAGTCATGGAAAATCTGAGATGCATTTCCACTGGAAGGTGTGATGGTCTGTTTCTCTTTCTGTATCCCTCTTTCTCTCTCTCACTTCTCACAGCATCTCGGCTCTGTCTCTTTGTAGATATTCTGTCAAATGAATATTCAGACAGCTCTCTCTGTCACGCTCCCTCGGGGCAGCCATCTCGTTGACTTTCGGTGCCCATGATAAAATCTTCATTGGTATTGACAGCTCTGTTCCTCCTCACCTTGTTCAGTGAGTTTGAAAAGCTGGACAGCACCCATGACACCTGACCACCACAGCAGCTCTGCCACAACTAAACTCTCACATAAACTCTCAATTGTTACTCCTAAAAAGCCAAGAGAGAATTGTGGGGCAAATGGAGACATTTCCTAAGTTGCAGAATTACAAAGAAGTACAAAAACAAATCATCAATATTTTTGCCAAGTTTTATAGTAATAATATGAAATATACTACCATTCCTAAGCTTTTGAATGAAGTCTCTTATGCTCACCAAGGCTGTATTTATTTAAGCAAACTACAGTAAAAACAGTAAAATTGTGAATTATTATTACAATTGCATTTATTACAATTGCTATTATCTATTTTAATATATTTTAAAATGTAATTTATATCTGTGATGGCAAAGCTGAATTTTCAGCATCATTACTCCAGTCTTCAGTGTCTCATGATTCTTCAGAAATCATTCTAATACTTTTTAAAATATTTTTGTGGAAAATGTAATGCATATTTTGATTCTTTAATGAATAGAAAGTTCAAAAGACTTTCTTAAGAAGAACAAAAAACTTTTTTTTTTTTTAACATCCTACACAAGTTTGTTTCTCTGGAAAATGTTCATATATACATAAATGTTAAGACATTATTATTATTATTTTTTTTTTAAATATTTAATGTATATGTTTGTTTCATTATTTTTAGTACTTAAATACAAACATTTCTCAACAAATTGATCCAATATTAAATCTTTTGAGCAATGGTATCCATTAATTGTAAAGCTCTATACTGACTGCATGACAACAAATGTCTCATAAGTTTCTATTTTTAGGGAATTTTAGGAGAAACATCTGAGATTGTAGACATTTCAAAAAGAAACAACTGAGAGCTCTGAAAGAACAACCACTGAGCAATACAATGCTCCTCTGGGTCCTGTCCTACAATATCATTATATAAACCCAAACCCCTCATCTCCATAAAACAATACTTTTAATGTTTTAGTGTGATTGAAGTTGATGCATCAGACCTTGCAAATGACAAACACGGGCTCAGATGTGCTTTGCTTTCAGATTCATCACATTAAAATCAGCATTTCAAGGTGAGGCCAGCCATATATATGAGCTGCTTACAACTGTAAAAAAAAAAAAAAACTATATTTACATATATATATATGTTTACATATAAAACTCAAATCATTTTCAGTGAATTTGCATGTAATATATATAGCAAATTTATCAGGAAAATAAATAATAATATATATGCTCTATATATGCTCATTATATACACTGTCATTCAAAAGTTTATTAAATAATTGCAGCCTTGATAAGCATAAGAGACATTACAAATCGCACTGATCCCAAATTTTTGAACGGCAGTGTAGCTATATGCATTTCCTCACATTTCTCATGAATTGTACCATTGCCGAATGTGCTGTCATGCTATGCCAGAAGTGGCGCATACTGGCACATTTGAGTGAAATGTGAACCTGTTCTCACTGCACTCTTTGTCACACTGGAGCAGGCTCTCTTTTACACGTCTGGGCCAGAGCGATCGTCTCAGAGCTGTAGCTCTGTGTGTGTGTGTGTTAGGGGACCAGAGTGTTCGCCGTCACCTCCCTGCTGAAAGGAAACACAAATAAGTTCAAACTTCATGGCCTAGTTCTGTTTCGCTGTGCCCGTGACCTGATTCCAGTGAGCCGGCCAGTGAACAGTTGTGTTCTGATTGCTGTTTGCAGGAGAGGTGAGTGTGTAGTGCTCTGAGCTCACAGACGTGTTTTCCCATCCCAGCACTGCTCCGCTCATGTAAAACGGTACGTTTGCAGCTCACTGTCACAGCTCAGGCTGCGCTCATCACTGTATGTGAGTGTATGCATATGATGTGTGTTTTGTGCAATGCATGCAACTCATTTCAGTTTGTTTATATATACTGTATAATGTATATATACTGTATATATATATATATATATATATATATCGGCTTAATATTTTTGGCTTCAATACATTAGCTGAGTCTTCAAATCAGGACACCGAGGAAAAAAAAGTGTTGCTTTAGCGTTTGAGCTGTTTGGTTGAAATAATAGTTCTTCTAATTTAAACAAAACCGTCCTTTTCAGAGAAAATACCTGGCAAAAAAAAATAATAATTATCAGGATTTAATTGTTTTAGTTTTATCACCCTCCTCTAACCATATATGCCCTTGAAAATAATAAACAGAATAAAAAGTAGAACCCATCAGGGCTGCAGTGGTTCCCAGCGGGGACTGAAACTGTCTGAATTTGAGGTTTGTTGGTAAAAGCTTATTTCCTCATGCTTTTTTGTGATTCTTTGCTTTCAAGGCATGTGTGTTTGAGTCCTGGCATCCTCTCAATGGTTTTCAGGTCCACAGGGCCTGTGCATATGGATTACTATGATGATTATGATCCCAGAACCAAGGCAAACATTCTCCTCACACCTCTAGAGGGGACAAGCTGAGTGTAATCCAATAAATAACACTGTGAAACCTGAAGCAGTCAACAAGACCTAAAATAAACTACCAAAACACAGGTGAGAAAGACCAATAGACACAGAATAAAATGGAATTCCTACTCGATTGAATGTGCAGTGTTTTTTTAAATAGCATTCACAGAAGATGAAGTCAATTTTACATCTCGCTTTTTCATTCAAACTTGCCATTTTCTTCCTCGCCAGTGACTTGTCACCTA